AATGCGCCTACATTACACAGGGCACCTTTGGCAAAGCTTCGGCTAAAAGGCAAACAACAAGTCCACAACTGGCGGAGGCTCTTCTTCGTAAACCTGTTGTGGTTGCCTGCTGCAACCAAACTGTTCTTTGTCCCATGCGCGCTCGTAAAATGTTCTGCTTCAAATCGATGTCCAAATACAGTTGCGCGTGCACTCTGACAGGTTTGCACTGACCTGGAAACTGCTGTGGACGCGGAGATCAAGAAGCGCGGCGGTGGTCCCACGAAGGTGTTGTTTTCAGCGCCAAAATTGTCAAAGGAGCGTCGTTGCAATTTGTTTTTGGTGTATTATAGTTCCAAGAGAGGTCGGGAGGCAGTATGGCCCAACTCAATCACTAACTTGCTTTGTTTTACTGTGGATTCGGGCGTGCTTCAACATGTTTTATTGTCTCGGAGGGTGCGCCACGCACATGATAACGTTTCCGGGGGGCTCCAACAAGCCCCCGCACACCTTTGCACCAAACATATAAAATCGAGGGCCCCCACATGGTGCAAAGTTTGCACAGATTTTGTCAACTTGTAAACCAACGGTTTGTATGTCTATGAGGGTCCCCCAAGTAGCGCTTTAAAGTTCTCTGGCTGCCCAGGAATTGTTGGACATGTGACCTTGATCAGGCGGCTGCCAAGATTCAAGAGGAGTGTTTTGATGACATTTGAGGACTGTCTCTGGCTGCAAAAGAGCGGGCTCAAGGTTCTTTTCACGAACGCCAAACGCGAGAAAAAGCCCAGAGGGCACCTGGTGACCCATTAAGGCAACAGATCGATGTTCTTGCCAGTTCTTGCTATATGTTCATGTCTTGTCATCTTGACTTTCCATCCAAGTCTGAACGACTTAGCTAAGGCAGCGCCATGTTCGGCGTCTGCCCATGTCGGCTTCATCTCAGGCTTGATCACATATATCCCCCAATTTGCACCGCTATTGAGTTCTTTGCCCAAATCCTGCTATCAGGATGAGGACGGCAAGGGAAATCTGAAGCAGTTGGCTCAAATGAGCACCTCAACGGCTCAGCTTCCAGACTTTGTCGCGTTACGCAGCCTATGCGCGCTGCAGGTGACCATGTGGACTCGGCTGCTGTCAGCTGTTGACTCAACAATGTTCAAGCGCAGCAGTCCAAAAATGCCCTCAACACTTCAAAAACCTCTCTCTTAGACACACACACACACACACACTCACGCAGACTATCATCGAACGCTGACAGCGGCCCAATCCATGCCAGAGATGCTTGACTCGGCCCTCCCCAAGATATTGGTGCAGAGGTCCACCGCGGCATGGGGCGGCGAGGATGGGAAGGGTGGAGAGCCGGCTCACGTGGATGGGCAGGCTGGAAGCCCGCTTTCACATTAGGAGCCCTGTTGTATGGTATGGGGGGGGTCATATTGGACGCTCCTGACAGACCCACTGGACACGCTTCGGACTCGTCTGGTATGTATATATTACATATAACTTCTTGGTATACACATGTACAATATAAATATACGTGTGCCTTTATAGGAATCCGGGTGAATCCTCATGGATCAGGAGTGCCCCTTTGGCCGTTACGACCTCACTGTGGGCACCTCCGAGCGGGGCGAGGCGCTGGGATTTGGGCGGCTGCCCAAGTTCCAGTGGGGGCACCCCAGACCGTTGGAGGCGGCGAAGGGGACGGCCCCGACAGTTGGGAAGACAAGGGATTAAGTTGAAGGAAAGAGAAACAGATCAGTTGGAGGGAAGGGACAGTTGCAGTGTTTCTTTCCATTTGTTTTTTCCAGGGCGCTTATCATCGTTTATCCGTGTTTTTATCCGTGGAACATAAAGAACCCTCCTGTCCTAAGCCTAAAACCACCCCGTGTTCGACATGTTTCGAAGCGATGATCTAGGGGATGCAACTTAACATTGCCGTAGTAAAGTTTAGAGTTGAACTGACAAATCTCCGAAAAAGGGGACACGTGTAACAATACAGAAGCAGGAAATGTATCATTGGACTGGACCTCCAAAAGACATGCGTCCTAAAAAACATCGCCCCGCCAGCCCCAGTCAAGAATGTTTCATGGTTGCTGGCAGGTGTGGGGCCCATCCGTTGGCCTGACTTCCCCTCCGCCTTTCACCGGGTCTATCCAGTTTCTGGGGCCAACTTGAAACCAGGCACTTGTTGCTAGCCTTTGGTGGGCTCGGAGGCTTTGAAGAGGCACTGGGCGGTCGTTTTGATGTGTGTACCGTAGGTTGGTACATTGGCGTATCTCTGGAGACTGATGGTGCACTCGGACAGTCGACAGATGCCGATTTGCACTATTCACACTAAATTATTCTACAAGCAAACATTATAATCACGTGTGGTGCAGGCACCAATCAGCCATCATCTACAGTGCGTAAATTAGCATTATTGGGTTAATTAAGGTCAAGAGACAAGAGATGTCAAGAGTATACTGGTTTTCAGGGAGAGTGGCCAGATCGAGGCAGTCATGGAAACCTTGAATGGCCTAGGGCGAGATTGTTTTTGCTAGCGCCGCTGTTAGCGACCCCAGGAGAAAATGCTACTTTTTCTCTGGGTGATCTTCGCTTGCACGTGTGCACGGGGTGGGATGGGGATGGGGTTGGGGTGGGGTGATGTTAATGTTCATATGAAGCTGCACACGGACTTGATGCCACGCTTTGGACGGGGTGGGGATGGGGTTGGGGTGTGGTGATGTTAACATTCGTATGAAGTTGCACACGGACTTGACGCTACGCTTTGGACGGGGTGGGGTTGTGGTTGGGGTGGGGTGATGTTAACGTTCGTATGAAGTTGCACACGGACTTGATGCTACGCTTTGGATGGGGCGCACGGAGTTGGAGCGCGGTGATGTTAACGTTCGTCTGAAGTTGCGCACGGTCTTGATGCTTTGCTTTGGATGGGGTGGGGATGGGGGGTGGGGTGATTTTAACGTTCATATGAAGCTGCACACGGACTTGACGCTACGCTTTGGATGGGGTTGGGGTGTGGTGATGTTAACGTTCGTATGAAGTTGCACACGGACTTGACGCTACGCTTTGGATGGGGATGGGGTTGGGGTGGGGTGATGTTAACGTTCGTATGCACACGGTCTTGTAAAGTTGACCACCCGTGATGGTCTACGACAGCGTGACGCAAAACGCGTCGAAGAATGTGTGCGAAGTTCCCAATTTCGATGGGGCAACAAAAACAATTTGTTTGCGCATGCGGTTTTGGCCTGCAAAGTTCCAAAACTATAAACCCAAGACACCTGCAAAACGCGTGTGCGCACAAAGTTGGTGCATTTGCGGTTTTTAGCCCTTGGAGATTCCATTTCACCAGTCTTGTCTCTGGTAAATAATTGGATATAACAAAACATGATCCAAACTGTGAGAAAAGAAAACTTCGTAAAAAAGGGACGTTTCAAGACGTGTCCATGTCCGAACTGTACAAATCGCGCAGGGTCATTTTTGGCGGCGGTACCTTGTTTTTTGATGATGTGGGAAGCATCCGCTTGACTGTATTTCGCAGTCGCAACTCGTATGAACATCTCTGAATTTACATGATGACCAGTTGATTGGCGTTGATTGGCGTTCAGTGCAAATAGTTTGCTTTCAGTTGTGGTTCTTTGTGCCAAGCACGAGCCAAAGACACGTAGTACATCGTAGTAGTGTTGATGATCCGAATCCCCACCTAAGAGCGGTGACTCTTCACCGTGGAATGAGGGTCTCCCGTTTTTGTTGCAAAAAACCAACACCGTTCCAACGGTCCGTCCTGTTCTCACCGTGAAACCCTTCTTCATGCACCTTAAGAAGGCATGTTTTTTTTGCTGGCTGGCGTTCCTAAGGCATTTTCTGGTTCACCCATTCCAGCACTGTTCCTGCAGGTCATCAGTGACCCGGTCAGTGGCTACGAGGCGTCCACCGACCCGGCGAGCTTGTTCACGCGCTACGTGAACGTGTGCCCGCGCCAGAAGTCTCGGACCATCCGCGCCTCGGTTGACACGGGAACAGCAGCAGGAATGCCTGATTTGATGGACCTGGTGGTGAATCTGAAAGAAGAACCGCCTGACCTGAGGGACACACAAATCCGGAGTCGTTCAATTGACCTCCGTGAACTATGTGGGATCTCTCCATGTTCCCCTTGACTTTGCTGCTTCAAAACATCCGACACCATCTCACCGCCGGTAGTTGAGCGTTATTTATTTCAAAAAATGAACACAACAAACAACTGTTTCTTTGGCATAGTCAGCTTTAGGTTAGTGTTGTGAAGTGCTTGACGAGGGTACACTGAGCAGCCAGTGGCCAGTTGCCTTGCTAAGGAACTGAGGAAGCCTTGCTGATCGCCTTGGCAACCCTCGATCCGCTGTTGCCAGATTGAGGGGCAAAAAGCAGCAGAGAGTAGGGCACCGATCTCCAAACTTATACACCAGGTAGTGATTATCAATGTTTATTGATGTTTATTATATAAGTATTCCGATGTATATCCCACATGGTGTAGTGGGAATCCACAAACTTGGTCGCTGAGTATGTCAAGGTCAGACACGTAAGTCTCATCACGCATTCAGCCCTCGGGGCCAAGCTGAAGGAGAACAACTGGCGACCACGCCGCCGACATACCTCACCTGACTTGGTTGGACAATCCAGGCTGAAGACTTTGTTTTATAATGTGTGTTTGTGTTGTTGTCAAGTTGTTTATATATATATAATATTTCTCTTGCGATGTGGTTCAATACCACGTCACCAAGATTCGCCAGCCAAGTATATATTAGTAATATGATGTGATATGTTTCTACATATGCAAATGCAAATTCATCCATGTATGGTCTCACCTAGATTAGTATAGCCGCATAGTCGCACCCTTAAGACACAACATGCACGTTGGCTGGTCCTGGCTGCTTTGGGCTTGTTCCATGTATCGAGCCACACATCCCGTGACCGTCACTCCTTCCATCATCAACCTGCGGGGCTACACCGCTACGCGGACACGCGATGGCTGGAGAGAATCGTCCAAGGCTGGCCGTTGACAAGGAGAACCACTATGCCTTCGTGGCGGGACTCAGTGAGAAAGAACACACCACTGTGACAGGATTTTTGCAGTCGCTTTCAAGGCGGTCGGTTAAGGGGCTTTCAAGCCTTCGGCTGTTTGAACCAGGTCGGGAAGGTGAATCTCCATGGATCTCCTGCAGTGTACCATATATAACTATATTGGTATATTACTATATATATATTACTATTCTATCACCATACATATTGTATACATATCAGGGGTGACAGGGTTTACGTGTAGAGGTTCAACTTTTTGATGTGTGTCCCAGCTTGAGCAACTTTTTTGTGCTCGACTTGGACCGCCCTGCAGGGCACAGGGCACGTGCTTTGTTCAATCAAGCGCATGGCACGTCAGTTTCTGCACGCTGAGAGTTTATCATGACAAAGCAAGTGGCCACAACAATTTTCAATATAGACGGGAGCCTCAACTCTCAACTTGGTGTTTCAGTTTTGATTTTTGTGCCCAAACTGTGGTTTCTGATGGTTTCTGCCGGTGTGACTTTGGATGAGCTGTTTGGTCCACAAGAGGTCTGGAAGTTGGCTTGGTTCGCATCGAGATCAACGGGATCCTAGGGCGTGTTCGGAGATTTCAGGGTCAAGAGAGCAAACACACAATTTGAATTGAACGGCTCTGGTTGAAGCTGGACCTTGAAGTCATCAGCTCTACAGGTAGTGCTGGGCGCAGCCGGGGATTTGGCGAAGAAGAAGCCTCTTGGTACACGAGATCGGCTCGGGTGCACGAGATCCGCTTGTTCATCTTGATCAGATGTTCCCTAAGGAGGTTTAAAAGTTTACAAGGGGATGCTGTTGACACATGAATTCCAAATCGATGTATTTGGGGACAGCCACAAGAGACAACATTGTCAGTTTGTGAGGGATCGGGATGTCCTGTAGTTTCTCTAATCTTTGCATCCTAGATATGTGCAGCCATTCCATGCATGGACTCATTGGTTGTAGAACTGTCCATCACTCCATGTTGTTCTTTTGGCGTACTAGGTCTCCTTTTGCCATCGCCCAGATCACTTAGTTGAATCTCATGGATTCACTAATGTATGGCAGGTGCCCAACCTCTTTGGGCGTTTTGGCCGTGTGGATTCCTCAATGTCTATTGGATGTCAGCAAGGTTGGCGCCATGTTGGGGGACCCTGTTGATAGATGTTGGCTGTATTTTGAAACCCCTTGGTGAGAGTTCCTTGGTGTCCCTATGATCTACAGTATATTCCCATGTATTCCCAACCATCATTGGATGGATCATGGTAATGCCAGCCTCCATAGGTCGGTCATGGTCGGTCCCATCCGAAACGGAGGACCTCGGACCTGTCGATGAATCTGAGGACCTTCCCATCACTGTTCCAGCTCCACATGGGGTGCTGCACTCAGATCTTCCGATGAGTCATGCTCCCAACATGGCCATCTCTCCGGGCCGGTGAGGCGTTGGGTGAACACCCGCGGTCTCCGCCGTACCTGGTTGTGGCTGCTGTGTTTTTTGGGGGTCGACGTGCCATGCGATTCACTTGAGGCGCTTGTTGCCTGGAAACATGCATATCATTGGTGTGGACAATCCCCAGTTCCACAAGGAGCCGATCGGTCGGGTTTACGAGGAGCCTACCGTCGCCAGCTCCTCGGTGACCCGAAAAGCTTTTTCGACCCTTCCCAGCCCGAAGTGACACCTACCCTGGAAGAGTGGAGAACCTTTAGCGCTTTGGGGGGATTGGTTTCCCTACTTAAAGGTGGAAGATGGTGGAAGTATGGTGGAAGTTAACCTTTATTTTGCATGGAAACTGCCGGAGTTTCGGAAAGCTTAATTCCTTGATGCTTTGTTTGGAATATAGGAGCGTGACGTTCTCTTGTTAACACGATTTCAGAAATACTGCAGTTCCGTGTCAAGCTGCACTTACCTACGACAAGGAACCCTTGGGGATACCGGTGTTTAGATTCGCTTGTTCATGTTGGTCCTCTTGCTTTGCTATTGGATTGGCGGAAAGTAGCCTATTCTCATGCACTTGCATGTGTAAGGATCGTGGTTTGGTTTGGAACACATGCTCATATACTGTAATTCATATATATAGGTAATTAGAATACATTCAAATCATTCTTTGATTGTATTTGCTTGTTTGTTAGTGTTTGTGGGTGGGTTGGGATCGGTTGGCGGGAAGGCACTACTGGGTATCTTTGGATCATGAACATGTTATGCTATTTATGATATGTATATATAATATATGAGCTTGATTGAAGAGGGTGGGACAACAAATAGAGAGAGAGAGAGAGAGCTAGGGCATATCATCCAAGGCCATACTTAATGTACGTTTTGGCTAGCGCTAGACGAAAAGCGCAAGAACTCCAGCAATGTCACTGACACCACAACAGCGCTGTTTTGGATTCAGTGCCCCATCGAAATGAGTGATCCCAAATATATGTATATATAACAGTTAAATACAGTTCAATTTGTTTGTTGCTTTAGATGGGGTCAACGTTTCTACCTCTTTCAGTTGCGATATTTTGGGTCTGTCCTATTATTACCTGTAGCAGTCAGTAAACAATTATCACTATTTTTGAACAAGGCCTTTACTAACCATCATCCACTGTTACAGGTATTAGGATAGAGCCAAGCAATAAAATAGAATCATTGGTATCGATAAATACCTTAATTGGTTAAAATACTGGATAATATCATCAACCGCATGTTCTGGTGAGACTCCAAATTGCCTTCAATCCTCTCCAATCCTCCCAATTCCAATTCCCAAAACTGGTGGAGGGGTCGAGATTCCGGATGCTATCAGAATCCAGAACATCTGTATATTCGCTGAAGATGCGGCCCTTCAGCGTTAGCCCCAGTAACACCTCACCGCCATCATGGTTTTTGTGACCCATTCATTTGTGTTGGCTTTGCGTTGTTTGTTTGAACATGTTTCCAGCCAGCGTTGGCACCCTTCCTCCCACCCCTACTTCGTGGTCCTTCCGCGACGGTCCGCGGCCGTCCGCGCGGAGGACGTGACCAACGTGACCGACTTTTGGGACCAACGGCTTCGAGAACACCTCGAAAAGCAGAAAGGCTGGGTGAATGAGGACCCGACGGGAACCGGACGGGTGGGTCGAGAAGTCGGGTTCGGGTTCGGTCTCGGTTGTGCCTTCTCTCACCACGGTGGAGGTTTACTCTTTTGGGGTTTGGAAGTTCACATGTTTTGGAGCTAAGGCTGCTAAGGCTTTGCTTTGTAAGATGTTTCGGGGCCAGCTTCGGTCAAGCATTCTCTTGAGGCCGAGCGAGGTAAAAATGAAGCCGGTCCTGTGCCAAGATTGCAGCTCTCGCTGATTCTGCCCATCCACAGGACCTCGAGAGCTTCAAAGAAAGGCTTCACTATGTGCAAGTGCAGCTGGACCAGTCCGCAGCCTCAAGGAATTGTGACGGAGGTGTCACGGTTGAAGCGTGAGGAGCCTTTTTGTTGAAGCGTGAGATCAAGATCGATGCTGAAAATACTATATTATATATATATATGACATATATAGACTATATAGACTATTATAATAGACCAATATAGAATATGAGGACTTTATAGAGTTGTGTCCACATTCAGTAGTCTAACTTGTCTAACATTTATTGGTCCAAAGATAACTAACTATAACTGAGTTATATATTATATGGAGATGAGCCAAGTGGATAGTGGATTCGTCCGCAAAGCGACACCGACCGCGACCGACCCCCACCGAAGCCCTTCACCGAGTCCCCCAGGCCTGACACGGTGGTCGCATTGGACAGGTGGGTGTTCCTCCACTCGTGTCGAAGGGCCATTAAGGGCCTAAGGAAACAGGGTGAAAGATGTGAAAGGCTCGCTGAAGTGATGGTGATGAAGAGTGATGAGGGCCCATTCCATTCCACCCTTAAGCGTTCTGCGTTCTGTTGATGGAAGAACAGGAGGAAAGATGATGAGAAAACAGTGGAGACAATGTCAATGTCCTTGAGGATGGGGGGAATTCAAGGTCTAAGTCTAAGTGGCACAACCCTGGGTCGGGAAATGGGGAAACCATAGTGGACACCATGTCTTACTTATTCTTTGCCCTTTTGAAGGTCGGTAGACATGAGGATGCCAGAAAAACTATTGCGGGGACAAGCTGGGACTCCGTTTCTCAGCGTCATTCTGCTGGAGGTCCACTGCCTTGATCCCAAAAAGAATGGTGTTGGCGTTGGAGGCCCACCTCGACAGCTGAGGTTCTATCGATCAAACGACAACTGACCCTGACTGACCCTGTCAGTTCCAAACATGTTCAGACCCTGTGAGTGGATCTTCCACACATCATTCATGGCAATGCATTGAAATGCACCAGTGGGTCAACAGCTGCAGCTCGAAAGCCAGGTAGGAACCTGACCCTCCCTGCTACATACCTTCGGTGAATGTTCGGTGGTCAACCAGGCTCCCCTGCCTTGACCCACCCGAGCGTGTGGGAGGCACTTGCGATCGCTGGCGGAAGATCGTCCAAAGGAGCATCGTGTGTTTTACCTGGTGGGGGGGGCCTTGGGGCGTCCAGCGGCACCTGGCAGAAGGGCCCAGCAGAAGGGTCTCAGCATCCCCTTTATACTGGAGATGAATGGCCTTGGACCAAGCGCACCAGGCCTTTGCACCGGCAAAGCAAATCAAGAAGGGATTCCATGTTTCAGGCCTTCGCCGTTCGTTCGGATCCATCCAGCGACTGGAGGAGGCGAACCTCAAATGGGTGACCAGATATGACCGGGGGGAATTACAAGCATCCAGTATGTTCTTGACCATGTTTTTTCCAGGTGAAGTGACCGTGGCTCATGTGCTGTTTGGGGTCCCAGGTTGGTAAACCGGGGTGTAAAAACCCTGATTCACTAACCTGGAAGCGGGTCTAGAGAAGCTGTTTGTAGAGGGATTCAGCCTTTTTGGGGGTGGATCGCCATCCACTTCCATATGGGGTGATCTGTGGGGTGTTCAGATCTGGTACGGACTTACACAGGGTTGATCCGGATGATTCCGGATGGCTTAACTGAATGACTCACCATGTCTGGGAAGCATGGAAGCCGCGACGTGGACGTGAACATGCGACGTGGACGTGAAGATTGTCAGTAGAATGCCCAACCATCACTAGACCATACGACATTTCCTTTGACTGTTGCCCGGCTATGCCTAGTTTTGTTGCAGGTGCTTGTAAAAGTAAACCATGGTAGACCTGTGCAGTTTGTTTCTAGGGTTTGAGGACGTCATTGCCGGCACACTTCATGAAGTGTTCAACTGGTTTGTTTGGACCTCGGTCACATTGCTCGCGGTGTCCCCGTTCACTATGTTGGTCACATGGGTTTACCTTCCAAAACACCGTGTTCACCGTGATCCAGTGATTCCCAAATAGATAGAGAAGGGTTCCATGCAATACATCTTCTAGAGGGGTCTATTTTTCCACTTCTAGTTGCAACATGGATGCTTGGAAAATCACTCCTCAGAGTCCCCTGGCGGAGATGAAACACTTGACACCCAGGCACTGCCCCCATTCCTCTTCGCCAAAGCCGTGGAGAATCTGCGGGAGCGTCTGACCCTGACGCGATGGGAAGCCGCTGCGGGACACCCAAACGCTGTTGAAGGAAGAAGGTCTGAGCCAAAAGGAAGTGAAGAAGGATATACCAAGTATCAATATGTACGAATTTGAATAAATAATTTCTGAGGAAAGGATATAGAGCCGGCCTGTCTTTGTAAGGAACAGCATCCAAACCAAGACCTTGCTCCATCTCGAAATAAGTTGTTCTGGGAGCTCAAAAAGAAAACGAGGTGAGTTGATCTAGCAAGCGACCGGTGCAACTCCCGAGAATAAAGAGTAATAAAGCCCCGAAAGCAGACAATTCCTGGAATAATCCATCTCATTGTTCCCTACTTCTACTTCCTTTCATCGCACGGCTTGACCAGAACAGAAGGGAGTTCTTTGTTATCGAGACGTTCATCGCCAGGTTGCTGGTCCCAAAGCGGCTGGAACCGTGTGATTGTCGAGAAGCCTTTTGGAAAGAACGGTGCGCGCTCTGATCGGCACGGTTTTGGTGGGGTCGATCGGATGGGATTGATCTTTAAGATCAATTCAGCGGATGTGGTGCACCTGGAAGCGATGCAATTTGTTTTTTGTTGTGTTTTGGTGCTTCTTGTCGTATTTATTCAGCCCGCTGGTGCGGGACCTTAGTAGAAGAGCTTTCCAGATCCATCCACCCAAGTGGTGCCAGTTGAGCGATGAGTGAGGAGAGGAATGGCAGCCACTCGAGTCAGAGCCCAGCTCCGGGGCGCTCAGCCCAACTCCGGGATCGTCAGGTACACAGGCGGCTGAGCTTACAGATAGTCAGGACACCCAGAGTGGAAGCAGAACCGGCATCGTTGTGCCAGGTTCATCGGATCATCTCGGATCATTAAGCTGGGGTGGCGGCAGTCTGTCCTGAACTGTAAGCTCTCAAGTCCATTGTTATACATATATATAGTCATATAGTTTCCTGAAACAATTGATGAGGAGATGTGTTACAAGACTCATTGTGTCAGCCTTAAGTCTGACGACTCACTTGTCCGTTCGTCGACTCTACAAGATTCAATCTATACATTATACAGCCTCAGCATACGATAGATGGATGACAGAGCCGGAAATCTGGAGATACCTAAAAAAAGTCCTAAAGCTATAATGTTGAAGCAAATCATGACAGTCAGTGATTCTGTGGTAACCATTCTGTTGAACGATCCTCTGACTCTCAGGATCATCCCTGACACATCGCTGATAACTAAGATCTATAGCATGCGGAGTAGCATGTGGCCAAAGCACTCACAGATTCAATGGCAACCACTCATCAGAGCTCTTTCAACTCGCACATCGTGGGTACCGAGCTCCACCTCGCCATGCCGAACTGCGATGAGTCGCTCTTCGCTGCGCTGGCGAAGCATCCGCGGCACACCGCCGGGAGCGAGAGCCATCCGATGCCGGACCGGTGTCGTGGGAAGCTCAGTGGCGAACACTGACTGCATCGCTACTAGTAGGCATCGCTACCAGTCACAAGGGCATTACGATGTTTTGTTTCGGGTTGGGGGGGGTGAGGCCATCGCTATTAGGTTGGAGGCCATCGCTCTTTGGGGGAGGCCATCGCCAGTATAGGGCCAACCTCTTCCAGATGGAGTGAGAAGAGCACCGAAATTCCCGTAGCCATTTTGGCTCAAGTGATTGGTTTGATCCAGTTTACAAGCCGGACTTGGGAAGACTGGAACCTATTGCATCTCCACTTCAAGGTGCTACTGCCGGGGAGGCTGCGGATGGCTGGTGAACCTCTCACCGGAAGAAGTGCAACGACTCAGAGATGGGTTGGACGAGCCGGGGCGTAGCAAGACCAGTCTCACTGAATCTGGACCAATGACCTACTGGTACCATGTAACTCTGATCGATGGCAGTGACTTTGATTAAGCGACCGTCTACGATTCAGGTGTTGCCATCGCGATTCCGAGTCCATGTGAGGGCCTTCAAGGTCCAACATGGTCCAACTACTTGCTCCAGGCCAAAAGCCAGCCCATGAAAACCATGGATACACTCTGGAAAATTCACATGGAACTTGAAAACCACTGGTTTATAGATGCAAATCGTCTTCCATGTGGGTTCATTTTCAGGTTCCATGTGGGTCTCTTCACAGGTGCAGCTCAGGGATCCATCGAAAGCCCCACTCGGACCACTCGCAGCCGAAGATGCACCGACGTCACCGACCACGAGCATGTCCCCATCTTGCTGACCTCAGTGATGACAGCATGCAAACCATGCATGCACTGGAGCCACGTGAGGGACAACAGATCTCCTTCCATCCAAAAAACATCATGCTGCACCCTTTGCAGCGTGATGTCATTTGGATGCATCCCTGTCCGCTAAGATTCTGATGTGGCTTTTGATCCTGGTTCAGGGGCTTGGGGCAGCTGTCAGCGACATGCAATCGTATGGAGATCCACAGGCATCCCACACTTCTTTGGGCTGTATCACGGAGGAAGCAGCACAAATGTGCGCGCGCCGGGGCAACGAATTCTTTGTGGCGATTTTACCCAGATTTCATGGGCGTCGATGTCGCTAGCTGTTCTGTTCTATTTGACCTTGAGGAGCGGAGCATGCAATGCTATGATGCTTTGAACGCCTTGAAGCCTTTCGGACCAAAGTTGTGCGAGCTGCCTGAAGAACGATCCCACGATGACTCTCTTCCGGCCAAGGCGATCGTGTTGTAGTTTCAGTGGACTACGTGTAGCATCGGTGTAGCATGGAGGGTGCAGGCCACCAGAAGCGCCGAACCCGTGGTCTTGATCAGAGTAACAAACACGGGTTCGGTTCCAATGAAGACAAGGAAATTCCCAAACAAAAGGTTCGTTAGTCAGCACAACCGTGATTGGCTTGTCCCCAACCCCTAGGGGCTAACGAAACTCCAACTGAAATGAAAGAGATCATGAGATAATGAAAGCAAGACAACCATGTCAGAAAGCTGGCAAAACAAAAGAACTTTCTCCTCAGAATGGATATATATATATACACAGATAGATAGATAGATAGATAGATGTTCTTCCCAGAACATCCAAAACTCATTCAATCTACAAGACAACAACTTAGACAAACACAAAAAAACACTTGAATAAAGCATAAAAAAACTGAAACAGGAAGAATGGATGAAGAAAGTACGAGTTCTTGTGTTGGCCAATGACAGGCCCCATGCGTCTCGCTGCTCCCATCCGTCCGACCTGTCATGCATCAACCCCGAGGCATTGAGGACCTTTTCGATTGGGAGGCCATCGCCAAAGAGATGGGCCGATCCGAGGAGGACCTTGGGTCAGCAGGATGGAGTTGTTGATCAATGTTCATTGATTGGTCGTATTTTTTCACAGTTAATCCTGTTTAAACTGTTAAACAATTGGATATTGGTCGTGTTTTGTTGGAATCCACAAACGGAGCTCTAGCTCTTTCAAACTACCATTAAAACATGGCCGGTCACCATCGCCTGTGACCTAAAAGGGAATGTTGAAGGTTCCAACTGACCATTTCACTCGGACCAGGCATGGTGCACCAGGTCGTTTAGCTATCCATGGAGTCCTAAATGGGTAGTCCCATTGGTGTTGGTTGATATCTTATAATATAAGCACCCTCAACCAATCACGTGACTACTAGGTCTTTATAGATTCCGGTTTGATGTAATTTGATGTTGCACCAACAAGGCACAGTCATGTGAACAACACTCTTGGGCATTCTGGGCGGCCCATGACTCCAAGCACTGATGAGTGTGGGAAACAACAACCATTGCCCCGTTTTGAAAGAAAGGGCCAGGGTGATGTTGCGCAGTAGATATATATGTGTTTTGTTTTGCATGTTTTGTTCAGATTCGTTGCCTTCGCTTCCGTTAGCTCCTCTTCAGAGGAGCTCATGAACGCGACCTTTGGACCAGCGTGTGGAAAGCGCCAAGCCCGCTGTGGCCTCCTGCGCGCACGGGGGTCACCCGAGCAGCTGAAAGAGGCGGCGATGAGGGCACAATTGGGGATCGTGGTGGTGCCAGAGTCTGGACTGATCTGGGATTGGGCGTGATGGGCCCCTTCTGATCCTTCTGGATGGATTGGGTAAAATGCTAGGACCTTGAACATCTGATCACTTGAACCATCAATTTGGGTGGCTAAATCTCAGATTGACCAGCTTAAGCCACGGGATGACCGTGCCTGTGGATCCTCGAGTTCGCATTGGATCGAAGGCGGAGGATTGTCACTCTGAGGGAGAAATTTGATGCATAGAGGACGATCCTTCCTTGGTTGTGCTGAGGTTCATGTCATATCGTTTCATACGAATGATCGTGTCATCAAATACCATGTCAATGATTTAGAGTCATGCTCTCCCTCTGCCAGTGCCGCCGGGCCTGTGTGGGAGATTGTTCGGTCCCCCGCTCTCGTGTGTGAAAAAACTGATCGAACTTAGGACTTCGTGAAAGAGGAGGAGGAAGCTGCGATGCTCGCAGAATTTCTGGATCCTGCCAATGCTGCAGGGCTGCCCTGGGAGAAGAGAGAAGGTGCGATTTCAATGCGGTATTTTGCTTTACAGATCTTTGAAGTCAGGCTTGGAACAGACACCTTCGTTTGCACATTGTCCAAAGAGCAACCCGAAGCTGGGTGGTAGGTGTTCCATGGGTGCGAACGTCACCATGATGGCTTTCAAAAGGCCCACCATCTTCCAATATGGGCATCGAAGGAGGGTTTTTGAATCAAAGGAGCCGCGAATAGAGTACCACTGACATCCACAAACTACTCACGGATATAGTTTGGAATCCCCTTGGATACTACTGGTAGGGCAGGCCGTGTTTGTTGGTTCCTGATCAATAACACCCACGCACGCACTGCACAGGAGGCGGATGGCATGCGAGCTTTGGGCCAAGCTTTATCCCAAATGCTGGCTACAAAGTGGAACCTGGACATAGGATCGATGGGTAAGAACAAGTTCTCGTCGTTCTTGTTCGTGTTGCTCATGTCATTATGGCCGTCGTTGGTTGTGGTTGTTGCTGTAGCAATGTTTGATTTTTGAGCGATTCTTGTTGACAAAGCAGATCAGAGTAATGTAGTGTGTAAATGTGTTTTAAGTATTACCCTTGCCATGTTGGGTTTAGTCTAGTAGATGCATAAACACTTTGCAGAATATGTGTATTGAATTGTGTCATTCACAAATCTGCGACAAAGTACTTGCAACCGGACAAACATGACACAGCTCTCCATAAGCCTAGTTTCAACTTGCTTGGACTGTTGTCTATCTACTTGTGACATGCCCAGACGCTCCCTTCACCGTCACCGCCCTTGGTCCCTCAAAGCTAATGAGGGATTTCAGACCGGATTCGGGTCCAGGGTTGCGTTTGGGTGGAGAACCGAATGGAGCACAACTCTTGAACTGACATCGCGAGAGCTCAGGATCGCAGCAAAGCCTTCACAGAGCTCCCCAGGGTCCTTGACACCGTCCGACACCTGGCTTCCAGCCGCCAGCACGCGCGCACGGAAGTCCTGGAAACCTGCATGCTGTTGGAAGGCATTGTTTGGACTCACGGAAATATACATCGTCGGAGTCCATGTTTCATACTTTCAAGCCCTTTTTTGACTATTTCTCATTTGAAAGTCGGTGCATAATGACATGTTTGGTTTGGCGAGTTGAACAGAACATGTGACTCTCTTTTCGGCTCTTAGTCTTGGGATCAGAAAAGAAGACCATACTTGTGAAATCATTCGGGCTGGATTAATAGACAAGGAAAAAGTTGGACTGAAGACGATTCGGGCAGAATATCGGCCTGCGGATGGAAAACCCAATTTATAGGCAGATAATG